TCGACGCCCTGATACCTTCATCCGAATCGAGCAAGACAACACCTCCCACAGCTTTGGCATGTAGCTCGGCGGCCTTGGCACCATTCTTGATGGTCCTTATGGCACGCTCGGCTTTCGGAGCGTGTCGCCCCGGTACTGCCACTTCGCTTGTGGAGTTGTTGCCAATCGCCTTGGCGAGCTCATTTGCAATCGCAACAACAAGAGGCTCTCCACCCGAGACAACATCAACCTCCTGCAAGCCGAACGTATGCAAGTACTTCGCCAGATGCGTGACGGTGCTTCTTCTCCACTCACCGCTGAAGGTAGTCGCACACCTAACGCAAAAGGCGGCACTGTGAACGATCCCTATCAGTCTTACGTTTTTGTTGTAAAACTGATCAATCTGCACCTCTCTACGGCTTGGAACCACCACCCCAAGATGCGCGAATGTCCTGCAAAGACGGCATCGTGTAACGCTCCGGAATGTAACAACCAGCATTGGTATTAGAGATAGGACTGTCCATGATCAAGCGAGGAGCTTTGGTGGGATGCTTGACAATGTTACACTTGCCCACAGCAGTGAGATTCGGCCAACGTGACTGCGCCGTCTCCAGTGAACCAACCTCTTCCAAGAAGCCAGCAGCCACCTCCTGCTCAATGAGCTCACGGAACAACCTCACTCCAGTTACCAGTACAGTGTTGAAGAGGTGGCGGATCGAAGTCGGTTGACTCCAGCGGAATCAGAACCCCAGACAAAGGTATATCGCGGCGGTAACCTGTTGGCACCCCCGCATGCAAACATGGCCATAGCGACACATCTTTATCCGCAATGAAAGATGCCACAGCTTCCAAAGCTGAAAGAGAGTCAGGTTGACCAGCTCCCAATCCAAACCAGCAGACGGTGCCAAGACCGCATCCCAAATTGCACGCAGTTCGACGACCTCCTCTGAAGTAAACAGCGGGGAGTTTGTATTATTTGCCACATGCTCCCGGAGGCGTTGCGGGGCACGAAACTGCACAAAAGCTTTGCATGTAGTTGGAGCGCGGCGCGTATCTCGCCGCGTGGTTTCCTTCGGTTTCTTGGGTGGGGTGGCTGGGGGGGGGTGGGGGGGGGGGATAATTCCGCCCCCCCTATTGCAACTTGCCAGCATGTCCTCAGTCTTTTAGTGCTCCAGTTTGCAGGGTTTGGGGTTTGGAGTTTAGCCTTGATGTTGGGCTTCGGGGTTTAGGCCTCTGGCAACTCTGCAGATGCTAAGGCTACACCCAGAACCCTGACTTAAACCGTAGCCCTCCGACTTGCTAAATCCGCCCTATGGGCTTGGGGGGGGTTAGGGTTTAGGGTTTAGGGTGTATAGGGCTTAGGGGGTTTAAGGGTACTTACGGCTCTGCTTTGTCCCAGGGTTTAGGGCTAGGATTGAGGATTGAGGATGTGGGGCTTAGGGTCGAGGTCTCTGGGTTTGAGGTTCTGCGTTGAGGTTTTCCCAAAACCTGATTCCGGAAATCCTACTGCCCCAGAATCCTCAAGCAACCTTTCCTATAAAGCCCTACACCTTAAAATCCCTAAGCCCCTAAACTCTAAACCCTGAAAGCCCTAAAATCCTTGAAAACGGAAAGTAGTTTTAGGCATTTCAGAACTCTTTAAAAGGAGTGAATTCCCTAGGCGAAAACACTAAAATACGTGTTTCCCCCTTAGAGTGCCGTTCATAACCCGCTCCCACCTCTCAGGACGCCGAGTACCTTGTAAATGGCACCATTTTTTGCAAATTCCAGCCATCTTAATTTTCAATCTCTGCACGAAAACGCACGGCGAGATGTGCGCCGCGCACCATGTAGTTTGTGGCGTACTTCACGTAGAAGATCATCCTTTCCTGGCTGTGGCGAGGACCAATCTGGCATGCTGAGGATCCCCCCCCATCCTGGGTAGCACATGGAAAGGAAGCTGACATGGGTTTACGCGGAAGCAGCTGCATACAGTCCTGCAGATCAACGAATTGTGCGTCCGGCAGCGGCGTAAACAAAGGAAGAACATGCTGGGCCAAGGCGCTGGCCAAACTCACAGGATACGTGTCAAGCGAGACAGATGCTGCCCATTCTCATCTTTGACGCCCCAGATCTGTGCATGTGCATCCTTTCCATGTTGGCAAACGCCTGCCAGGCTCTGAAGTGAGCGAAGAGATGTTGCAAATGCCCAGTGCTTAAACCAATCCTGCTGCCATTGGCATGCGGACGTGACGACCACATCAGCTGCCACCGAGTTGAGGTAGAACTGAGTCTCCTTCAAAAGCCAAAGCATGGAATTCCTGGGATGCTCAAGACTGGTTTGGCCACCTGACCATAAGGTTGGCGCGCGGATGGCCCGAGGCCCACAGTCGTCCCGAAGCTTAACCAGCGAAAACTCGCCACAGGGTGGACTGCCATGTGCAAATTTAAAGACCCCATTGTGAGCCAAGGCCATGATTCTTTCAACAGTTTCATCGTGAAGAAGGTCCAAAACCTCTCCAAAAAGTGGATCAACCGCAAAGCAAGGGATTCCCAGAGCACGTACCGCCGTGGAGAAAGGAGCCGAAGATCCACAGCAGAGGTCCAGGAAAAGCTTTGTATCTGACGCCAAAGGTCACTGGCGGTGATGTAGTTGCCGCCAAAGATTCGCTTGCAGCCCCAGGAAAGGAAAAGATAGCGCCTGCAGCTGCAATAAATCTTCGGAGGAAGCAGATTGGAAGATAGTCGGGGTGTAGGCGATCAGCACCCATCGATCTCCAACCCACTCAGAAGAACCATGAAGAAGACGTGGGTTAAAAGAAAATGGCTTTTCGTGAATGTTCACCAGGCCGCCGGAACAATCCACGGACTGAGAAGATGGGGGAGGCGCCGGCTGATCAAACGCACCCTCCAACCAAAGAAGGCCACCCACATGTTGGCCCAGAGAAAGCACATGGTTTTCACAGCCGCACAAATTCCCTGAATCACTGTGCAGCTTTGCAAAAGAGTTGTGTGAAACGCAAATCGAAGCCCAACTCTTCACCAGGGAAAGCTTGCCTCAAACCAAGGTTGATGAAGGAAACAAGCTGTGGATAATCCCAAGTCAGATTGCAAATGCCGACCTGTGTCCCTGAGCGGCAGCCGAAGTTGAGATAAGCTGAAGACTCTGTGGACTGAACCACACGACTACGCCTCGAAAAATTCAAATCGCCCAAAAAAGCCACCAAGACTGAAAGTAACGCCGCAAAAGAAAAGTCACTTGCACCAAGGAAATTGGTCAGCAGATCCTGAGGATTGCCGCGCGAAGGTATAGCCGCCCCTGAAGAATGTCGCCTGTACACAAAAGGTTTGAGGACTTTGAAGGAGCTGAAGCCACATCACATGATAGTCAGTGTGGAGTTGCCCGGTGCTGAGTTGCACTATGCTTCCCACCGCAAGGGGCGCCGTCCTGCTTGGCAACACAGCAAACATGTAGGAACTTGCAAGCGGGTCGCTGACATCCTGAAGGCAGATTGTACTGAACACAGATCTTCTGGACCTCGTTGTTGCGTGCGATCTCTGTTACTCAGGGAGTGCGTTCCTTGCCTGTTTTTAAGACCGAACCCCCTACCCTTACCTTTAGGTTTGCCGGGAGGTTTGCCCTTGAACCAGCCCTTGCCCCGAGGAGGCTCAAACTTAGGAATCCAAGGACGAGCTTGAAGCATCGAAGACAGCTCGTTGCGGGCCTCCACAACTTCAGAGATCGCGTCGTCGAGCTGCCAGCCATGAGCCAGCAAATCACCAATCACTTCCCAAGCTCGACGATCTGCATTCATCGCCTCCTGAACATTGACTGAACGCAATCCAGAGCCATTCTCGAAGCGCTGCAGGGCCAACTTCAGGAAACGCTTCTCATAAAGGCGAAGGACGCCGAGATGCGCACCTTCCACCAGGGCTATGGCATTGGAGTGAATTGAGAGCACAGAGCGGGATACCTTCTGATGCTGGGTTGTTGCCATGTGGAAGTTCACGGACAGGCACTTCACTTCGTCCACGAAGAGGTTTTCAAGCTTAGGCAGCTTACTCGGCCGTTGAAGCTGGGAGGCGTCAAGCTGGGCTTGGCTCATACGCCAAGCCCAAGGGATCCACTGCCACTCCTGTTTTTGACATAACGATGTGCCAAAGCTAACAGCCGTGAGCTTGGCATCGATTCACTGTCCAGGATTTCGGAAGGATAAGACTTCTCAAAGCGATCCCGAAAAGAGTGTACAACGGCAGCATCCAGCTTGGGCGGAAAAGTATCCGCCCATGTACTTGTCGAGGAAGTAGTGGACGTTGGTTGCGTTGCATTCACCGCAGGGTATTCGGCTGGTGCCGAAGGTTTGCTGAAGCGCCTCTTGTTGCAGAGGAAGCAGAAGCGAAGCAACTCAAGCGCAAAATGCGCACATGCACACAAGGAGCTATTGCAGACCCTAAAGCTCGTACCAAGCGTTGGATCCTAAGAGAACAATGGAACCACAAAAGGAGATACCATCAAAGACTTCAACCTGCTGCAACAGTACGCTAGAAAGGGACACCTCCATGGAAGCTAGCTGCAACGCTGAGAGCATACGCCCAGTAGGCCAAGCGCGTTTCTGGGACGAAACAAGGAAGCATTTGCTGCAATGCCTGTAAGCGAATGCAAAGCCAAGCTGTATAAAAGGTTAATGCAAAGGAGGCAGCAAAAGGTGGGACCTTTTGCGTTTCACGCCAAAGGAAGCTCAAGAATCTTCATACAAGCGGGGCGTTTACAAAGGCGCCCGCCAGCCGGGAGAAAGGCAACTGATTCCAGCCGAGCGGAACGAACACCGCAGGCCGGCAGCATATCTTTAACTGGGTCCCCAGCGTGGTACACACCGCTTGGAGCCTTCCAGATGCATAGCTCATCAGGAGCGCCCAGATCAGGCAACGCAGAAGGCACTGATTCCTCTTCAGACGAAGAAACAATGCCCTGTTCTAACGAAACTGTCGACTCCGGAGGCCCCTTTGAGCTCATTGCGACAGAGCAAGACGCCTGCTGCACATCACCCGTCTCCGAAGATGATGACGGTGCTGTTCAGAAGAACGAGGCGCAAAGAAAGGATGAACCGCAGCAGGTGGTACGCAGGAGAGCATGGTACAAGCCGGTTGCTGCACTGGTGGAGCCGCACCACGAAGCCTGGTGATGCAAGGCAACCAGCCACTCCTCAAAGCGTCACGGACACTGCGTTGAACCTGCAGCGCATAGTGAACGTCGTCTCGACTATACAATTTCGTCATGCGATGATGGCCTTGAAAAGCTCGAAGGAATTCTGAAATGTTCAACTGTATAGCCATGGAAAGAACTGTAGCCTTGGCACTGTGAAGTGTAAATTCCTGGATCTGAGACGCGGCAAACAACCCAGATTTCTGCAGGAGTGCACGAAGAGCGTGCAAAGAAGCTGCATAGGAAAGAGGCTCAAAAATACCATCTTGCCAGTTGAAAAACAGGACATCAAGGGTAAAGTCTGGCAAGACTTCACGAACCTCACTGAAAACTTCGCCAAGAAGCCAGACCCAGTGGTCCACCCAAGAAAAGCCTGAACCGGCGTGAATGCCTTCACGCCAGATAGCGAAGGGCATGCCCTGCGTAGTCACTTTTGTCCTGACATCAGAGTATCGATGTCCAAGAAAATAGCATCCCAGAGGACCGACTGAGCATCACTCCAACGAAGACTTGCGTAAATGCAAGTAAGGACTGCTCCCGAAAATAACCTGTAAAACCGTGGAAAGATTTCCCCCTGAATCACGACAACCTCGAGAAAGGCTATGAAAGCTGCAGGAAACGGCACAGACTCTTGACGAGGGCCAGGACGTCGAGCCTCCAAATCTCGAATCACCGGCGAAGCCAAGTCGGGCCAGGGCAACTCGAAAAGTTTCTTACTCCAACGCAAAGCCTTGAGAACATTCACTGGAGCAGTAAGCGGGCCTGAAGGTTGCCCGGCCAAGACCGCAAAAGCATCCAAGAACATGAACCATTCGAAACTTCCACAGATGTTCCCATGCAGCTCCTCAAATACTTGCCAGAAACGCAGCAAAGATTGGCAATACCGCAAGCATGTCGATTCACTGACAGACTGAAAAAGGCGATCAAGGATCTGACTTGTCTGAACCGCCTGATGGGCCTGCTGCAGCACGGGAGAAATTGCCAGAAAGATGCCCACGAGTGTGTCCCAAAGAGCCGCAGCACGTAATGACATCGCTGCTCGCACTGATTGCTGTGTTACAAACGATGAATCTTTGCCCTCTGTTCGCCTTGTAGAAGCCTGGCCAGACCGTGACTGCAAAGGCAAAAAGAAAGAAGATGCCGTTGGTACCTCCTTGACGCTGTTGTGTGACTCTGCGTCCGAAGATGCAAGAGCTGAAGGCCCCATTGTTGGATATGAAGCACCTGCAGAAGTGAGAACCTGACTGTGCTGTCCTGTGGGCACTCGGCAATGTGTAGCATAAGCCGATGCACGGTTGGGGCAAGGCTTAGGGGAAGGGGAAAAAGCTAACCCTGGACGCAAAAGCTTACCCCCATACACAGGTCTAGGCGGGGGCGGATCAGAAAGCACATCTGCAACCCGCTTACGTGCAGGAACCCTTGGCTGAGCCCGAACAAACCCAGAAGACCCTGAACGAACCCCTGGGGAAGCTTTCGCGGTAACCTCCAGCCCCCGACCCAGAGAAGAGGCCGTGCCGCAAGAAGGAGCTTTCGGAGTCGCCTGGAGAGGCAAAGGACTGTCGTTGGTTGTGACATAGTCGTCGGGATAGTGTACAATTGGGGATGAACAAAAGCAGCTGCTTGTAGACCCGCTTCAGAAGATGCTTTCAGAACGTCATCAGGAAAGCCAGTCGATCCATGTACTGAAACTTCTGAGACGCAAGCCGCTGCAGGCGGATTTGCCAACGAACTTATCGTGGATTGCCAACGCTTACGAAAGCCCCTTGCTCCAGACTGAGGAGTAGAACCACCAAGCTCTGCATCAGAAGTAAAACCCACATTTGCAGACTGTTCCATGAAGAAAAAGGACGAAGCAAAACTGGTATGCCCAGCAGTATCAAGAATGATGAACCACACGCCAAGCCGTAAGAACTGCCCGGAGAAAAGCAACCTCTTCCAAGTTCGCAACTCTCTCAGCCAGCTGACTGCAAAAGCTAAGCAGAACTCTGACGCACCTGCGATGCTGTAAAGATTCACGCTCAAGCCAGCTGGTAGTGCGGAGGCTGCTGTCGCTTGAAGAAGAAATATCAGGCAAAACCAACTCGGGGCAGCTCTTCCATTCGGCGCAAGGCTCCCAAAGGGGTGCCTAGAAGAAAGTGCCCCAGTAAAGACATGTGCCTGCAAAAGTGATCATTCCAAAATCACACTGTTATAGAACAAGCCAAAGCGCAAATGCTTTGTTGCTTTGCTTTGAACTTGACACCAATCGCCTGGCATGTCCGAGCAGCTGTGGGGAAACACACGAACAGATAGTGCCAGCCCCCTCCAGGTAAGAAGACAGTTACCTTCCGGCAAGCACCGACTGAAATGTGAACAGCTCAGAGTCTCCGCATCTTGTGAGCCCGCAGGCTCTCTTCATTGTCAGTAAAACGCACTTTTCGCACGTCCTGTGGACTTAGCATTGCTCCTGACGCGCAACGTCGTCACTCGCATGCTTGTTCAGGCAAGCGCAGGCAGCGCCTCCCACCCAGTCCTACGCACGCTGGAGCGCCATGGAGTGAACAGAACATGCTCCGATGCCAAAATGGGTGCAGTTTGTCAGCAAACTTGAGCCAGGCATTTCACCTGCGCTAGGATTCAGCAGCCGGTATCGCAGTCAGAATGCTGAAGAAGGTCAAAACTGAGCGTTCTTTGCCGACCGAACGTGAGGCGTCGTGAACAAGCTCCAGCCCACCAATGAAGGCAAGGCAGGCCAAGGATAAAAAACAATGCCTCCCAAGCCTTCTCACAAAGCAGCAAAGCTGACCAACCAATCAGAACTGGCATGCTGACCCACCACACGTTTCTTCCAGTTGTCACCGCTCATCAAGGAGATCCTGAACATGTTCCTGCCGGCTCTTCTGGTCGACTTGCTTGCATATCAGTTTGAAGCCATGTCTGCGGAAGCGGCAATAGAGGAAGACCGCCAGAGCATCCATCACGCCACACGAGCCAAAGGCGAGAAGGGTGCTCCCGTGCTTGTACAGCTCAAGCCTGGGGTCAACGGTTGGCCAGTTCGGTTTTTGCACAGGGTTGCTCCGCAAGCACTGACCTTCCGAAAGAACGTACTCCAGCAGCGCTGGGGGTCCCTATGGACGACGCACTCATGGAAAAAGTAAGCTTACAGGGCCATTGGAACCGCAACTGGGTCATCTTATGCCGGACAGCCTCTTTAGAGGTCAGCTGGTCCCGCCAAGCCTGGCGGAACAGGATCGCGAAAACGTCAGTCAGGCTACAGCGAGTGCGTGGAGCCTGTCTTTCTGTCTATCTCTCTGACCCCTTCTCCGGGCTTAAAATTTTACGGGAGCCCGTCTATCTATCTATCCACCTCCCCCCCCCTCCCCCCCTTGGCTTAAAGTTTTACGGGAGCCCGTCTATCTATCTAGCTAGCTTACCCCGCCCCCTGCAGTTCCCCAATCTCCCAGCCCCCCTTCTATCTATCTATCTACCCCCCCCCCACTATCTATCTAACCCATTCTATCTATCTATCTATCTATCTATCTATCCATCAATCTATGCTTGAAATTTACGGGAGCCCGTCATCCACCTCCCCCCCCCCCCTTCCCCTTGGCTTAAAATTTTACGGGAGCCCGCCTATCTATCTATCTTTCTAACCCCCCCCCGCCCCCCTCTCTGCAGTTCCCCAATCCCAGCCGCCCACAATCTCCCAGCCGCCCTTCTCCCTCTCTGTCTAACCCCCCCACGACCTGCAAAATTTTACGGAATCTATCTATCTGACCCCCCCCCCCTCTAACCCCCCCACTATCTATCTAACCCACGTACCCCCCCTGGCCTCTATCCGCTAACCTCTGTTTGATACATGGGTTAGAGGATGGAGGTTGCCAGGTCCAAATTCCCCCTTATCCGCTACGTCTCTTATTAAAACCCATCTCTCTGTCTATCTAACCCCCGTCAGAACCCCCTCCCCACTATGTATCTGTCTAACCCCCCTCCCCCTTCTAGCAATTTCTATCTATCCCCCCTTCCCCTCCCCCCCCATCTATCTATCTATCTAACCCCCCCCCTCTGCGGGTCCCCCAATCTTCCAGCCGCCCATCCACCCACCCCTCTATTTATCCAACGGGAGCCGTCTATCTATTGCCCCCCCCCCTTCCGGCTAAAAATCTTACGGGAGCCCGTCTATCTATCTATCTACCTATCTACCCGTCCCCCAATCTCCCACCGTCTATCTATCTATCTATCCAACCCCCCCCCCCATTATCTTTATAGCCACAACAACTTTTCGGATATAAGCATAAATCCCAATGTACGTGTATAGCATCAGACGAATATAAAAGTTGAATCCCATGTGGATAAACAAAGCACCCTAGTGGTCTCATTCAACAGAATAGACGAATGCTCAACTTATTCACTTGGGCGCGATTGTTCCTTTTTTCTTCCGATGGCAATGCCACAAGTCGGGAGAATCCAAAAGCCCTCCCAGGGCCTCCAAGGTCACGCATCACCGTACACGAGTGAGCGCGCCTTAGACATCCCCGGGTGGGTGGGCGGGGAAAGAATTTTTCAGGCTCTCTGTCTATCTCAAAAGCTTTCAGCCCACAGCTTGAGAATGCAGACGAGTTCAAAGTGCAGAGCCTTGCCTCAAGGTTGAAAAATTCTCAATCTCTTAACAATCATGATACTCGCAAGTTCCCCAAATTCTGCAAGCGGCGTCATGACGAGCAAATGTTAAAACCATGATGCACGCAAGTTGCTACACGAGGGAAGTAGCTTCCCAGGTTACAAAGATCCGAAAAGCGAGTTTCAAAAGTGACAGACAACTTTTGAAACATTGTGTGTCTATAAAGCTATAGGAGACGAGTCTCCAATAAAGCTTATAGCCACAACAACTTTTCGGATATAAGTATAAATCCCAATGTACGTGTATAGCATCAGACGAATATAAAAGTTGAATCCCATGTGGATAAACAAAGCACCCTAGTGGTCTCATTCAACAGAATAGACGAATGCTCAACTTATTCACTTGGGCGCGATTGTTCCTTTTTTCTTCCGATGGCAATGCCACAAGTCGGGAGAATCCAAAAGCCCTCCCAGGGCCTCCAAGGTCACGCATCACCGTACACGAGTGAGCGCGCCTTAGACATCCCTCTTCAACTCAAGCGGGCTCAGGAGTTCGCCTGACATGCAGCATGAAGGGTGATCACGAGAGCAGGTGCCCCAGAAAGGAAAGTTTGACGAGCCCCTTGAGGGAGCGTCCGAAGGATTGCTAGCACTTGGCACACGTGCTATCCAACCAATCATGGGCACTGCATCGGCCCGCTCAAACTCAACAAGCAGTGATCGCCACACAGTGTCCCTGGAGGTCCCACTCACACAAGCGGCATGAACACCTGAGTGGTCCACGAAAAACAAGGCCCTTGAGGAATCTAAGTAAGACCCCCATAGCCGCCTGGCGACGACAACTGCAAATAACTCAACGGGCCCAATCAAATGGCGCTTGCCGGCATTGCTCCACTTTTGAACAAGAGTGGCGGGCATCCTGCACGCGAAGAAGCGGGTGTTCCAACTTCCCTCCTGATGGTGGTAAAGGATGCCGCCTATGGTGCAGACAGGATGGCCGTCCTCAAACTCGCACGCCCCATCGGTGAAGACGCAAGCACACCCTCTCGGTATCGCCGTGGGGATTGCCCGAGGAGGGCCCGAAACCAAGCGCTGCTTAAGATTTCGGAAAGCATCGCACTCGAACTTGCCAAGACGCAACTCCCCATTTGAGGAGCACAGGGACCTAAGCTCCATAAGGGCCAAACGCCCCAACCTCCCCAACAGCTGGCCCTCCATGAACTGAATGCGTCCGAACAAAGATGCGACCTCGGAGGCCTTAAGAAAACCCTTGTCAAGCACTTGGTCAATGGAGGCCGACATCTCGGTGCACTTGTCCTCGCGATTTGCAACTCTGACATGCTTAAGGGTGGGGTCAGACAGGTCTAGGGTGACACCCAAGAGGTTTGCAGAAGGAGCGAAGTCTTCCTCCTTGTCAGCGGCCCGAGTAAAGCCGAGAAGGGACAGGATGTTGTGCACGGTCTTCTCACAACTCCCGGCAAGTGCAGACAACTCCAGCAAGGGATAGTCATCGAAGTAGTTGCTTGTCATTACCCAGGCTTCCTGCAGGATTCTCTGGAGCAAACGGGCCACCCTGTTGAAGGCCGTGACGCTGGCGGAAGCGCCGAAAGGTAACACCTTCGAAACATACCCCACCACACGGGAATCAGACGGTCTACGCAAGCTCACGACACACAGACGGTGGTCCGACGGGTGAAGGGGAACTGCTTGTAGGCGGATTTAAGATCCACCGTTTTCACAAGCGGACGTGCCCGAGAGGTGTTGGAAGCCCAGAACGGGTGGAGCGGACCAGAGATCACCTCTCCCGTGGAGAGTGGGACATGCACAGAGCCTTTGCAAATCAGGGCGCGCATGATGAAGGCTGCAGTCCAAACAATCTCGTCGATGGCTCGGAGCGTGAGCTTGTCGCAAGGGGCAAAGGCACTGTTGACCCCATTTTCGGCCAAGTCATCGATGGGCCTTAGTTTCCCTCTTTGCTCTACTGCAAATCGACGGGCAGGGACCCATGAGCCCTTGAAGTAGTCTTCGAGTTCGTCCCAGGACCGAGCTGGGTCCAGCCACCCCTTTTCCGAAAACTCAGCATGCGTGATGTCGAAAAGCTCTTGCTCATGAGGATTTGCCGGGCTTTGGGCTATCTTATCCCACAAGAGGGGCTTCAGGACCTCGGCCTGTTCCATCAAGCCGTCCACAGTCAGTTCTGCCGGTTTAGGGTCCAGAGGAAAGACACCGCTAGGCTTTTCCTCCCCCACAAGACGGAAGCCATGCGTGAGGTCGTGGTGCAAGTGCTCATCGGGCCAGTCCAAGGATTTGGCAATCCTATCAAGGAGGAGGAGCTTCTTACCTCTTACCACGCTTGCCACGGAAGGGTGGAGGGACGCGTGCAGTTGTTCCTCGCGCCCCTCCAACTCCTGAGCCCACTTCCTCCAGGTGAGGCAGAGGTCCAACCTGCGTCGAACAACAGTCAAAGGACCATCGAGGAGCACCCTGGCGAGAACGGTCAAGGCCTGGTCAGGTAGGGCTGTGGCTACGTCAAAGGGGTGTGTTAGGGTAAGGGAAAGCTTGGCAAACTGCAAGGGGTCCCGGTACACACCACAAGTGATTGATGCCACAACAGAGTGGCCAGCCATCAAGACCTGATCTGCCAGCTTCCTGTCGGGTCGAGGGCGCTTCGGGAAAACCACCCCCCCTTCAAAGTTAACCCGGAGAACCTTAGAACCGACAGGCACGGGGCCCAAAGCAGCGCACAAGCAGTTCTTGTCATCAAGCGCAGGCAACTGGCCGGACGGGAGGGGGACAGTGACCTGGTAATGGTACTCATCGATCAAGACAACAGCCTTAGAAGTGCGTGGTTGCTTGTGTGTGGCCGTTCGGGCCGACTCATTTGAGAGGCCGGACGGAGAAGGCATAGCATGAGAGGAACCCAGGGCCAGCGAGGCCGCGGAAGCATACCGAGTGCAAAACACCTCGGGATACTCGGCTTCATCGGCAGTGGAGAAATCCCCGGAAGGGAGGATGCCCCAAGGGCGGTGAGGGTGTGAGTTGTCGCACTGGCGGGCAAGGGCGGACAACTCGGGCAGAGAGGTCCACAGCTCCTGATGCTTAGCGCGCGCGCCCCCGTGCATGCAGGCGTCATAAGGCACAACAGAACAACGAGGACGCAAGTCAAGGAACTCAGGCAGCAACCACAGGCAGGAGCGAGCAGGGTTCTCCACGCAGAAGTGAGTATGGGGCACCTCCTCAAGCAGCCAAGCACAGAAACGCGCAGCGCGACGGTATATCGAGTTAGCAGAGTCGACCTTGGCCTGCCACGAGGGGGAAAGGCCGGGCAGCCCCGCAGGGAAGGCCTCGCTGCGAAGGGCGGGCGGAGATGGCTGCCCTTTGATCGGGATGTCGCGTGCCCGCGAGGCCGTGCCACAGGGAGGCGCAACGTGAATGAGGAAGACCTGCCGGGCCTGCACAAGCCGGCGAAGGTAGCTCCACGAAGACTCCAAGCGTAAGTCAAGATGCACACAATGCACCAAAGGAACATGGCGGTTGCCAGGATGGTGGACAGCCAAGACCTGAAACCCCAGGGCTCGAAACGCCGCGGAGAGGCCAGCGGACCCACAGCACAACTCGAGGAACATCAGTTTTTGCGGCCGGACGGCCGGCAAGGCTGCAGAGTCGCGCATGGCAGTCGAAGGCCCAGGGGGCCCCTCCGAGGCGGCGGCTTCTTGCAGTGCGGGGCCAGGGCTGGCGGGGTGACCCGAGGGACTAGGGGAACTACACCCAGAAAGCCTAAGGTCAGGGAAGCCAGTGACAACTGCAGGCAGTGTGCGTGGAGGCGGCTCCTTAGCTGGAAGTCGGAAGCCCAAAGTGCGCAAGGCACGACAAGAGGCCCTGTCGAGTGATGCAACATTCTTGAGGCAATAAGCAATCAACACAAGGCGGCGGCCCTTGAACGGCATCACTGCATGCTGCAACCCTTGAGCGTTGAAGGCAATGGGACCCCGTCCCAAATCACAAAGCCGCGCACGGAATGACTGACCTCCATGAGAGACCACATGTCCCTCGGGGTCCGCGACCGCGAGCTCGCCTCCTTCAAAGCGGGTCAAGGGGATTACAAGGTTGGGCAGACAAGCATTTTGGGCGTCGCGGTGAATTCCCATCTCGGATCCCTCAAGGATAACAAAGCTGCTGAACTGGTGAGTGGGGGACACTTCCGCAATCAGCCGGGTGAACACCTTAACAGCCTCGGGGAATTGGGCGACCGAAGATCGCAAGCCTACAAGGGGGCCTCGGCGGTACATCCCCGAATAGAAGGACTTCTGAACCTTATCTCTTACGGCATGGGGAGTGCGTGAAACGGCAACATCGGGGAGTGAATCGAAGGTCTCAATGGCATGCAAAAGGGTGGCAGATTTGGGACTAGAAGAAGATTGCTTTGGGGTCGCCCCGCCCTCAGGGGCTGGAGCGATCCGCAGGGCCTGGAGGTTCGGTTGCCGGCTAGCATCCGATCCACCAGAAAGCTTCGGACTGTCACGCGGCAGTGATTGCACTTCGGCATTCGCTGCACCGGGGGTCGGTTGCCAAACTGCATCCGATCTAGAAGAAAGCTTGAGATTGCTGCAAGGTTGCTCAACGGCATCCTGCACAGGCTGTCCCTGACCCGCAAAATGCAAGGGTCCAGGGTCACCAAACTCGACTGATTGGGGCCCTAGTCACTCCGACTGAGCCTTGCTCCGCGTCGGGCAAGCAGAAGCGCCGTGGCCATGCTGCCCACACTTCGGGATGGCGCATGCGTGGAGGCCCCTCTGGCACGCATTGTTCTTGACCTCATTGGCACAAGTGCCGAGCTGGAATCCGTAGCAGTACGGATTTCCTTTCTTCGTGGCAGACACGCACCCCCACGCCACCATTTGCGCTGGCATCCCGGTTTCCTTTGCCCTTGCCCTGGCCCTTGGGATTGCGAGGCTTGCGGGGGCCGTAGGGACCGGGGCGCTCGGGTCGCTCCAACTCCTTCCCTTCATCAAGGGATCGAGAAGAAGCAGAAGGAAGCGGCTGCATCAAGCACACGACATCGAAAGAATTCATGACAGTTTGGAGGTGCGTGTCCAAGGGCCTGGCTCCACCAGAGGATTGCACTCCGTCACGGGTCAGGTCTCGCAACTCGCTGAAGAGCTTCTTGTCTGCAGCTACGAGTTGAGCCCAGGTTGGCCGAACATACCCAGCCGGGGCTTCCTGCATGCGTGCACGCATCAAACGATCACTCCACTGTTGCATGGTCGCGTACTCGACAAGGTTGGCTTGGTCCATGGCAAGGGAGCGGCGCTGCAACGCCTGCATGACATGAACCTCGGAAGATGTGACCGCTTTCTGTTCCGCGTCCTTGTTTTCAACCTTCAGACGCCCAGTGTGCTCGTCGACGGTGAAGCGGGTGTCACGGCGTCGGTCTGAGCCCACTTCTTGCTCTCTTGAAGTACATATTTCCCAAGACAGATAGCGAAGCTCGTTGTTTTCATAGCAAGCCACGGCCCTGTCTACCAAGGCCTCGCTAGGTTCGCTCAAGCCCTTGATGGAGACTCCAACGAGCTTCTTTTTCTGCTTCTCGAACCTCTCGGCTCGCTCGGGTTGTGTCAGGCGCCTGCTTGCTGGCTCTTCGGACTTCTCGATCTTTTGGCGCAGCTCAGAAGTGACAACGGCGTAGGACTCGTGGTACAGGGCTCGGAAGCTGGCCTGGACACCAAGTTCCGCATCCCTCCCAAGCATGAGCTTCAGTGCGGCCATCAACGGGGATTCATCGGCTTGACCTGGGGTGAAGCTGGAGATGAACGCCAACTGTCTCAGTGAAGACACCGCGGCTTTGATTTTTGTGGCATCCTCCTTTGTGAGTCCGCTGGCATCTACCCTCGCATTGAAAACACTCTGACTGTCCGAGTAAGAGGCAGCCATCCTCCTAGCTGCACCTGACGGGATCAAGCCAAAACGTGCTCACTCGGCTGCCGAAATCCACCGCACGCATACAGCATGATAGTCAAAACTCGGACGGGTGCTCACCTTGCCATCTCTGCAAGCTTGCGTTCTTTTTCTCGTTCTCGGCAAAAAGAACACGTTTGGCTCGGCATCGCCTTTGCGCCCCTGAGCACGGGCCTGGCATCGTCAAAGACGCCCCAGGCCCTCTCCTCCTGCCAGGGGTGGTTCGCAAGCCCTGGCATCACCCAAAAGGCGCCCCAAGTCTGCGATCCATCACACTGGTCCCTCAGAAGATCTTGGATAACACTGCTTGCAAAACGGATACAAAACTTGCGGTATATCATCGCACTTAGAATATGACGAGGTGATCGCTCGGCCGCAGCGGAACATAGTGCCCTCCTCCGACGAAACAACATGGATGAAGCGACTGACTCGATGACGAAACACCTCTGCCTCATCCAGCCGTTCCCTCAAGCCGGGCTCGGGCTGCCACGGACCAACAAGCTCGTCGACGGCCTGCTCCTCTTCCTCCAAGTCTGGATGCTCCTCGTCTTCACTGCCTTCTGTTGACTCCGAAACGTCGTCCGGGAGGGCCTCTGGTGCAGCCGGGCGCTCCGGTGTGAACATCCCTGACCTTGTGCAGTCGGGTCTGAACTTGTCGAAGGCGATGTCCTCCAGAATCTGATCGAACTGCCTTAATGCCGGGGCGACGTTGTCTCTGCCGTACACGACGTCGCTGTCCGCCCGAGAGGCACTGTGGTATCCCAGAATCAATCGAATTTCCTTGCTGGCCCCCCATTTTGCAGCCCAGCTGAGGCCGGTGGCCTTCATGGAATGCGTGCCAAGAAGCTTGACTGTAGCAACGTCCTCCCCGGCCTTATACAGCAAGCTCCTCAACCACTTGGCTCCCATCCCAACGGCAATCGGCGATGAGGCCCAACCCCCCCCGTCCATAGGGGCGGGCAAGAGGGGCGAGTCCTCAGACCAGCCAGGGCCGTAAAGCTCGGCGATGTCCATCCACGCAATCGCCCACGACTCATCGAGAAGGCCCTGAACCGGGGCGCACATGGAAAGGTAGCGCGTCTTCCGCTCAAGGGTGTAAGCCGTCTTCGTTCGACACACAGAAGCTTCAAGGAAGCCCCTGACTCCACCATCGGGCAGATTGGTAACATCCTTGGTGATAGCGCCACTATTTTGCATGTCGGAGAACCGCGCACGAGCATAGGTGGCGTACAGGAAACATCCGGCAGCATATCTGTCTGACCCACTGAAGTCACCCCAGCCGGTGACGATCTTTTCCAAGGCCTTGACGTGCGAGACCTTGAGCGGCGGCTTCTGAACTTGCTTTCTCTTGTTCAAGTACAGAGCGTTGCAAGCACCAGTCAAACGGGTCGAAAACACATCTTCAAACTTGCATTCAAGGACATGCCGACAGAAAGCCACCGAACTCAGGAAGCTGCGAGCGAAAGTAGGGGCTTGCCTGGCGCAGTACTCCTTGACGAAGCGGTACAAGAGGTCTTCCCTGAATGGGAAAGGCGGCTGGCCTTCCTTTTTACAGAACTTCAAGTACCTGAGGATTGGCCCCGCTCGGCCATGCAGGGTGGCGCTCGCCTTCAAAGCAAAAATGTCAAGTAGAACCGAAGACAACTGCTGAGGTTCACCACCGGAAGCATCCACCGCAACCTTCTCCACGACCCCGAAGTGCTCGCCGTGTGACAGCATTATGCCACTCCATTTGGCAACGGCAGCGGATCTGCTTTCTGTCTGCTTAGCATGCCAAGGGGTCCCTTTGGACTTTGCAAACGGAATACTGGGCGCAGGGGCCGGCACAGGAGGTGTTGTGGGGAGGGGAGCAGAGGATTTTAAGGCTGCACTCGGGAGCCCGACGCCCCACCGTTGGTAGGGAGGGAGGCCTGGCAGAATGCTTGGTGGATTGAGAATCTGGGACCTATCCCAGGGCTGCACGAACCTGGTTTTGGACCCTTTAAGGAGGTACTCGAGATGCTGTTCGTAGGCCTCTTCAAGGTTGCGCTTCATTGTCCCAAGAAAAGCCCCTAATCAACCAAAAAGGACCCTGAAGCGCTGAGGGCAGAGCAGAACTCAAGAAGCCAGCGGCAAAAGAATCCGCAGACAAGTATGAGGCCAGTGCGCGGCAGCCACGAGGGCAGCCCAGGAACCTGGAGAGAGAAAGAGGAGCAGACGGGCTCCGTCGGAGCGGCTGATCAAAACACCTCGGAGGTTACTCTCAAAGATGTACGTCAGCAGACTGGGGGCTTCCTGGGAGTATTCAAGAAGGCGCTCAAAGTAGAAAGAACGTGGCCGCAAGCGAAGTGCAACAAAAGGTGCAATCACAGGAGGCTCGAGAGGCTCGGAAGCCCCGGACTCGCTGCTCCCACTGGGGGAGAAAAGCATCCGCCACCCCCGCGGGGTGGCTTGCACGGGCCCTAAGGGCACTTGTTCGGAGGGGGCCCGTTTGGAAAGGAAGAACCTGTTGAGGACCCACAAGGTTACTCAAGAACTGGGCCCAGGAAAGAATTTTTCAGGCTCTCTGTCTATCTCAAAAGCTTTCAGCCCACAGCTTGAGAATGCAGACGAGTTCAAAGTGCAGAGCCTTGCCTCAAGGTTGAAAAATTCTCAATCTCTTAAAAATCATGATACTCGCAAGTTCCCCAAATTCTGCAAGCGGCGTCATGACGAGCAAATGTTAAAACCATGATGCACGCAAGTTGCTACACGAGGGAAGTAGCTTCCCAGGTTACAAAGATCCGAAAAGCGAGTTTCAAAAGTGACAGACAACTTTTGAAACATTGTGTGTCTATAAAGCTAAAGAAGACGAGTCTCCAATAAAGCATCAAACCCATGTACCCCCCCCTAACCTCTATCCGCTAACCTTTGGATACATGCTGGTTAGAGGATAAGGGTCCACCCGTACTATCTCTCTATCCAACCACCCCCCCCAAAAAAAAAATTACGGGAGCCCGTCCAACCGGGCGGGTCCCCCAATCTCCCAGCCGTCCGTCTATCTATCGATCTGTCTAACCCCCCACTATCCATCTAACCCACCCCCCCCCCCCCTCCCCTCCCCCACCTTAAAAATTTTAAAATTTTACGAGGAACCTCCCCCCCCCCCACACCATCTCTTATTTCAAAACCGTCTATCTATCTATCTAACCCCCTCCCCCGGTCCCCACTATGTATCTGTCGAACCCCCGTCCCTCTTTCAACAGTTTACGGGAGCTGTCTATCTGTCTATCTCCCCCTCCCCCCATCTATCTATCTATCTATCTATCTAAACCCCCCCCCCCCTTCGTCCAGGTCCGTCAGACCTATCTCTCTAACCCCCCCCCCTTTTGAATTTTTAGAGGAGTTGTCTCTCTCCCTCTCCCCATCCCCCCCCCCCCCCCCCGCAGCTTGCAATTTTTACGCCCGTCAGGTATCAGCTAACCTTTTTGCAGGTCCAAGACCATCAGATCGCCCGTAAATCTATCTATCTGTTTATCTATCTTTCTCTCCCCTTTCCGCTGTCTAGAGAAGAGAAGAGTTCAGTTTTAAAATAACCCCACACCGAAGCCTGTGAGAAAACAAAGCACTCATTCCTTCTTTGGGCTGTACTTGAGCTTTAACTTTCCTCAGACCTCTCTTTCATTAGGGCTTAGGCCTTAGGGCTTTGGGCCTTAAGGCTTTGAACTAAGACTTCGGGCTTAGGGTTAAGGGTCAAGAAAGTTAACACATCTATCTATTTATCTATCCCTCCCCCCCCCCCCCCCCCCCCCCGGTAAAAAATTCCGCCTATCTATCTCTCTATCTATCTATCTGTCTAACCCCCCCCCCCTTCCTCCCAAACCCATCCTGCTATCCCTCTAACCTCTAACCCCCCCATTTTCCTAGGAGATCGAGGCTAGCCGGCGTACGTCCTGCGAAAATGTGAACTCCTGCTTGGGGGTGTTGTTTTTAACACGGATTTCATTTTCCCTGCTATACTTGTTTCACACTCCGTTGTGTATAGGCTCAAGCTACCCTCGAGCAAGATTGACAGAAAGAAAAGTGTGAAGAGAACCAAGGGTTCTAGAAAGGTTGATTGTAGCCTTTAAACTTTTATGGTCGCGGAGCTGTTGGCAACGGCCAGCAGCTGAAGCAGATCCAGGGAAAGAAGGTAAGCCCAGCTGAAGAGCTGGCAGCCAGCCAACGGGCTGGAAGAGGATAAGAAGTGGGAAGCAGGAGTTAAGGTTTATCAACTACGCCCTGCGAGAAAAGAAGAGTCCGTTTTCCGGCGGACGTTATCAGCGGAGGAAGTCGAGAGGACAGCAAGAGTTAAGGTTCATCAACTACACCTTGCTGAAGCCGAAGAAAGCAGGAGTTAAGGTTCATTAACTACGCCCTGCTGGATCGGTAGAAAGAAGAAGGTAAAGAAACAAGAGCCTTGAGTCTGGACGACTTGCCTAGATCGTCGAAGCAATGGCGGAACAGCAAAGAAACTTTGAAGCAATGTTGGCCGGCATCGGCCAGGCCACAGAAGCTTGAGGAAGAGTTGCGAGCCAAACAGCGACTCAACAGCAGCTAACAGAAGCAATGCAAAGGCTTACGGAGGCAGCCAGCCAAGGTGCTGCCCAAGCTGCAAGAAACTTGCAAGAAGTTTTGGAGGTGAAGGAGCGCCAAGGGCGCAACCCTCAGGTGTCGTTCGATACGGGAGGAAAGATCCTGAAGCCGCCAGAAGTGTTCAACCCGGCAACACTAGAAGAAGAAGTCTCTCAATGGAGCGACTGGAGTTTCGCCTTTAAGAGAGTTTCGCCTTTAAGAACTTCCTAGCATTCATGGACTATGAGTTCCTGGCAGATCTGAAGAAAGCTGAAGCATCAACGGATGCATTAGACATCGAAGATGACGTCGATGGATTCTATATGCAGCGAACGAAGGACGGAAGATAAGAGGAATGAAGCTATATGTGTTGAGTAGCTACTTGAGGAATCGTCCGTTGAAGGTGTTGAGAAGCATCGACAACATGGATGGATTTGAAGTTTGGAGACGACTCACAACGGAGCTCGAGCCATCCTCAAGATCTCGAAGCCTGGCAATGTCAACGAGTACGAGAAGTTATCGACAACGAAGTACGATGACAACTTGAAGATCGGGACGTTGCTGAAGGGAAACCTGAAGCATCCTGGTAGGAATCAATGAGAAGACAAGTTACAATGACTTGAGAACGAAGCTGCTACAGTACGAAAAACGTGGTCTGCTGAGAACATTTTGGGAGCGCAACGTTCATGCCCCAGGAACAAGTTCAAGTTCCAAAGAATATCAAGGGCCGATCCAATGGAGATTGACCGGCTAAAAGGCAAAGGAAAGTTCGAGAAAGGAAAAGGAAAAGGAAAGTTCGAGAAAGGAAAAGGAAAGAGAAAAGGAATGAACAGGAAAGGCGGACGAGGAAGAGGCCGCGGCAAAGGCCGTGGTGAAGGACGTGAGGCAAGTAGAGAATGGTGGCTACGAAGTCAAGAAAAAGGTTCAGGTGGAAAATCAAGGTCTGGAGTGGAGTGCTACAAGTGCGGAAAGTACGGTCATTTTCGCATCAGAATGTTGGACACCAGCGAAAGAAGGAAAAGACTCAGAAAAAGGAGGAAAGTCAAAAGGAAAGATGCAACAAGTCCGTAAAAGGATTGGAGCCAAGATCAATGGTCAAGTGGTCTATGGAGTGCGCCATCACAGTCGAGCACCAGTTCACACACTCAACTCAGTATCGAAGTAGACTTTAGGTGCTCGGTTCTTCGGGTTGCTGCTGGTTGGTGGTTTTGTTTTGTGTTTGTTTTGGTGTGTGTTTGCTTTGGTTTTCGCACCTGCTCCTTTTCACCTCTCGCATTTTATAAGAACGGCCTACTGCGCTGCTGATGTAGTAAAGAGGCAATGGTCCAAAAAAAACAAAACCTCATGGAGGCATGTCAAACTTCAAAGGACTTTCCTCTGACGGGACAGGTCATGGAACATGGTTGTCTTTAGGACTTTCCTCTCAAACAAGCTGGGGGCCTTAAAACAAAGCCACGGTTCCGGCCTGGTAATCCGAGTCCCCGCAAAAAGAAGAAGAATAAGCACCCTCTTCCCTTCGATGACAACGAGATAAGGCGAAGCTCTTCGTCTGCACCCACGGCGCGGTGAATTTGCATCTAGGTGACGCTTACTCGGATTTGGCCAAGGCCTTGCCGGAACGAGGCAGCCTCAAAGAAGCGCTGCAGGGCACCAACTTGCCTTTAACAGGAAGGTTCGGAATTCGAGCAAGTCCCATCAACATGGATCGCCTCCAGGGCAGTTGGCTTCTCAACATGCCTCCAACAATGTCATCTCCGCGGTTTGCAACTTCTCGACATGGTGCAAAAGATTCAGATGTGCCTTAATTTGCGTCGGTCCGCTGAGGGCTGGGCGGTGGAATACCGTGGCTCAAGCCTAGCCCTAAGGCTGCTCGTGGTTCGGTGGCGGTTGCCGTCAGTCCGCCGCCGCCCCCACGAAGGGACGCGTCGCGCACTCCGTGTGGCACGTCGAGACAGGCGTTCTGAAAAGGCTAACATGCAGAAAGCCGCTGCCAGCTCTTGCCTGCACCTCGTGCTCCGGCTCGGGGAGGACCGGCTGGCTTATCGGGGGAGTCCTTGGGGGTCCACCACGTATTTGGTTGAAGGGCACGTGGGCAGCTGGTACGCACGGCCAGCGAGGAAGGCCACCATAGCTGCAGGAGGCACATTGACCTGTAGGCCTGTAATGCGATTGTCCGTCTCAGGAAAGCCCAAGACAACAGGCAGCCCTGCTGCTCGTTTCAAGGGGCCCTTTTGATGAGACTCAAAAGCTAGCAAAAGCGCCTCCAACCAGTAGTCTGGGTCGGCGTAGCACAACATAGCCGGAAAACTGGCATTTTTGACCCCTGGCACATCTGCGACAGCAAAGAAGAGATCGGCGATGAACTGGGCAGTGGTCAGAAATCCGTACCCGACCAAAGAGTCCGACAGCCTGGTTTTATCCAGCTGTGGTATCTGGAATGATAGTATGTCCGCCAAATCAAT